CACGTTATAAAGTAATGTACAGTGATTTTATGCGGGAATATCGCGAACTTGGTCATATGTCCCTAATTAAAAAGTACAGTTGGCCACATTATTTTCTTCCACATCACGGGGTATTCCGTGAGGATAGTACCACAACTAAATTACGAGTTGTGTTTGATGCTAGTTGCGTTACGACAACAAATAAGTCATTAAACGACATTCAATATACAGGAGCCAGTCTTCAAAACGATATATTGTCAATCCTATTACGTTTTAGGCAGTATCAGTTCGTAGCGTGCGCTGATATTGAAAAAATGTTTCGACAAACATTAATTCATTCGGATCAGCGTCATTTACAACTTATACTCTGGCGAGAAAATCCATCAGATCCTGTAGGTATTTATCAGTTAAACACAGTGACATATGGCACCGCGTCAGCGCCATATCTCAGTATACGCTGTTTAAAACAAGTTGCTAAAGAATGTAATGATGAAAATGTCGCGCTCGTTATTAATGACGATTTTTACGTGGATGACCTAATTACAGGTCATGACAACCCTGAAACGTTATTAAATATTTGTGCAAAGACGTCGCGTATACTTGAAAGTTATTGTTACCCTTTGCGTAAATGGACGTTTAACTATGACGTCACGGCTACGTTTTCTTCAAAGGAGCTGGCAATAGGTGAACATGCGCAAAGTAAAACACTCGGTTTAGGGTGGTATAATAAAAGCGATGAACTACATTTCACGACCAAACTGGAGATGAGGAATACATCTGCTGAACCGTTAAGTAAACGAAAGATATTGTCGGTTATATCTCAAATATACGATCCTCTGGGTCTCCTAGCTCCCGCAATAATAGTGGCTAAAATTATTTTACAAAAGTTGTGGCTATGTAAAATCGATTGGGACGATCCTGTTTCTAGTGACGTCACAAAACTATTTTTTAAATTTATAAATTCTATACAACAACACTTACATAAGATAAAAATCCCGCGATTTGTAAGATGTACTCACGCTTGCCGTACAGAGTTACATATTTTTTGTGATGCGTCACAAGATGCATACGGGGCTTGTGCATACATACGGACAATAAATAGGGATTCAGTAGTTTCAGTTAAATTATTATGCGCCAAAAGCAAAGTTGCTCCTTTAAAAATAATTACTATTCCAAAATTAGAACTCTGCGCCGCTTTAATAGGTGCACGATTATATAAAAAAATAATTAATTCACTTAGATTACAAATTAATTGCAGTTACTTCTGGACTGACTCGACAATCGTGATGGGTTGGTTACGTATGTCTCCGCATTTATTAAAACCTTTTGTACAGAACCGAGTAATAGAGATAAACGAATTAACAGGTGATTTGTTATGGTTACATATAGACGGTAATAATAATCCAGCGGACCTAGTGTCGAGGGGTCTTTATATAGATGCGCTTAAGGACAATCGTCTGTGGTGGGACGGGCCGTCATTTTTACACTGTAATGAATGGTTAAACAAACAAAATGTAAGTATTTCAAATGATTTACCTGAATTGAAAAATAAAACGATAAATACAGTTTGCATAAATTCGGAAATAATCATAGATTTTACTAGGTTTTCGACATTTAACAAATTAAAGCGAACGGGAGCGTATGTGCTTAGGTTCATTCACAATATTCGGAGTAAACAACAACGTAAAACCGGTTCTCTCACAGCTGATGAACTAACGTCATCCGTACAGGTGTTATCGAGGATTGCACAAATGCATTCATTCCCGTCCTTATATAATAGTTTAGTTAATGCGATTCCTATAAAAAGGTGTAAAGAAATGAATAAGGTTTTAGGTTTAAACGTATTTTTAGATAATAATAAATTAATTAGGGTTGGCGGGAGACTTAATAATTCTAATTTTACCTATAATAAAATTCATCCGATTTTGTTGTGTAGTAAAAGTAGATATACAATTTTATTATTCGAACAGGAACATAAGAATTTACTTCACGCTGGACCTCAGCTCCTGCTGTGCACTATACGAGAGAGTTGGTGGCCGCTGGCTGGTAGAAATCTCGCTAGGAGAACAGTACATCAATGCGTGACTTGTGTTCGTATGAGAGGTAAAACTTGGAAGCCGATAATGGGGAATTTACCCGCAGAGCGTCTGGAGGCTAGTTTTCCTTTCATGCGCACGGGAGTAGATTATGCTGGACCAGTTTTCATATTAAATCGTAAAGGTAGGGGTGCTAAATTAATTAAAGGTTATATTTGTTTATTTACATGTCTTGCTACGCGATGCATTCATTTGGAATTAGTAACTGGTTTATCTACAAGCGATTATATTTTAGCATTAAAACGTTTTATTTCCCGACGTGGAAAGCCAGCGGAAATATTTTCCGATAACGGGAAAAATTTTGTGGGTGCTGAGAGAGAATTTTCTTCAATCTTACAAAACGGATTAAATACGATAAATGATTTCTTGGCTAATGATAGTATAAAGTTCACCTTCATCCCTCCATATGCACCTCATTTCGGGGGTTGTTGGGAAATTTGCGTCAAATTGTGTAAGAATCATCTTAGACGAATAGTAGGCAATGCTAATTTGAATTATGAGGAGTTCAGCACGGTATTGACACAAATAGAGGCCGTCCTGAACTCCCGTCCCCTCTCAGCTATGTCCACAGATCCCGCCGATTATTCACCTTTAACTCCTGCTCATTTCCTCATCGGCCGACCTCTGACCGCTCCTGCTTGCCACGACTTCACCAACACGCAGAGCAGTCAACTCATTCGATACAACCGGGTGGAACAGATGAGACAACATTTCTGGAGAAGGTGGTCGACGGAGTATGTGACACAGCTACAGAACAGAATCAAATGGAAAGAAAATAAAGGCGATATAAAATTGGGAACTCTTATCTTAGTGAAGGAAGATAATCAACCCCCTCTTAAATGGCGTTTGGGAAGGATTATACGAGTTTATCCAGGCAAAGACGGAATCTCACGAGTTGCTGACATTCGCACGGCGACTGGCCAAATACAGCGTGCATTTACAAAAATTTGCCCGCTGCCACTATCTACTGATGAAAATAAATCATCAGCTCCTACAACATCGTCTACAACCTATACGACAAATTCTGATAATTGATATATATTTCAATAATGAATTGAAAGCAGCGGCTTCAAGGCGGGCGGTATGTTCGCGCCATCTATTGACGACTGGGCGCAAATAAAGTTAACGGCGTGATGTTGGCAACAAACGGCTTCACTTCGACACAATTCAAATAAACGCAACATCATAGTTTGTACCATTGTAACAAAATTATAAAATATAAAAATAATAAACGATACCGAGAGGAAAGGAAGGGTCATTTCAATCACATAGTATAAAACAGTTGCTGTCGCTGTCTGTCCGTCCCTATTTACATATGTTTAAATCTTTAACACTACGCAACGTATTTTGGAACGATTTTTTATTAGATAGAGTGATCGAAGAAGAAGGTTTATATGTATGTAACTAGCTTTTGCCCGCGGCTTCGCTCGCGTTTTTTATCCCCTTAGGGGTAGAATTAATCAAAGTTCTTTCTTACCGGATGCCTACGTCATAACATCGACCTGCATGTCAAATTTCAGCCCGATCCGTCCAGTGGTTTGGGCTGTGCGTTGATAGATCACTATGTCAGTCACCTTTGAGTTATATATATTTAGATACATGTATACACACGGGCGAGTAGCTAGTTGTTTATAAATGAACATACTCACGCTGACGACATTTTAGAAAATTACTTCAGGCCGTATAAAACATAAGTACTTACGTATGTAAAAAAATTACTAAATAGGTTTGCATTCTTGAGCTTGACAAAATTGACTATTGATTTGCTTGCAGCTTATAAACTATGTTAATATATTAAAATTGTAGTTTTCTAACATAGTTTATAAGTTGTTTAGTAACACAATATACATAACACATATCCGAAATAAATGAAATAAATAAAAATAAATTATTAACGTTGAAGTCTTTTTTGTATTGTATTTACTTGCTTACCAGATGTTTGATATCATTTTCCAAATTCTATTTAACATGATATAACATAAGAGGATTGTTATTAATGGTAACTAGTAGCTCGCTAGCAATGTACGGTACATTTAGTTAGGTCGACCTCCACACGGTTCTTCCTGCAAACCGTCGTGATAAATTCTTAGTGAATTTGCCACGATGGGCCAACTGACCTGCCCTTATGCTCATCTTGTTATCCACCACTGGTACCCCGCCTACGTAAACCGTTAGCGCAGGGGATGGTACCGCCTATGATATGGTTTGCAGGAGGAACCACGTGGAGGTTTCATTGTCATCCCAAAAAAAATCTATTTAACAGTTAATAAATTATATTCTATTCTATTCTGGTGCGTGTAATGTAAACTACGTTTTATCCGTTAGTAAACCGTATATCCGTAATCATCTCCACCAGATATAGATCCAATGATCGGTGCCCGCGCAATCATTCTATCTATGCCTGGTGGCGCTGATACTCGCCAGGTGTCCGTCGACAGGCAAAATAAACGGTACAGTAATCGATTTAGGTGTTTTAATACCAACAGTTGTTCTCCGATTAATAGCCGACCACTTTACATGCGGACTAACGAATCGATAAACGTTCGCTGAGTAAACAATTTGTTTTAGTGTTTAGTAACACATACGAATATCTTACTGCCAGGGTTGCCAACTTTAAAACATAAATAAAGTATATTAAAATCTAGTAGGTGTGTCAATAGCTCAATTTGTCAATAAAATTGTGCATCATAATATTTTTGTTGTAACATTCAGTTTTGTAGCACTAACCTCGTATATAATAGTAGTTTTGTTGTTGTAACATTCAGTGTTCTAGCGACAAGTTTAAAAACATCAAAATAAAAAATCTCGTGAGGTCACTTTTGGCATAATATTACTAATATTATAAACACGAAAGTTTTTGAGTATGAATGGATGTTTGTTTCTCTTTTACGCTAAAACTACTGAATGGATTTTAATGAAACTTAACAGCAATATAGCTTATACATCAGAATAACATATGGGCTATAATTTATAATGATATTATGTAAATTGGAAATTTAATAACGAGCATGTGTGTATGTATACGAAGTTTTTTTATTTATACTGGTCAGCTAGTAATATAATATGGATTTGTTGTTATTACATGTATTTTTGTTGTTGTCACTTTCAGTATTCATTATTCATCGCAGTTTCGTCGCCGAGCACTCAACATTAGGACTTTTAGCTATGTTCGACCTCTAGACCTATTAGATCTCCAATAGAAGAAGGTAGTAACGCTGCCAGTAGCGGTGGTCAGGTTTCCGCGAATATTTGGGGTCTCACACATGCGGAAATAAACAAAAATCATATAATCATTAAGTAATCGAATGGACTTCAGCAAAATAACACCTATTGGTACTAATTTTGAATGTGATGGATAACACTTTCGATTTCAAACGATTCAATAATTTTGGCCGTTTTTCGTACATTTGTGAAAATCTTGTACAAACTTGTATGAGGATGAAAATATCCTTGTACTGAATGTCAAATATTTCATAGCAGTGATTCTCAACCTTTCAGGAATGTGTAAAAAATTAAATGTGAATTCCCCTTCTGGAACTGAATATGCAAACGAGGCACCAGTGAGGAATTATAAGATTATGAAGTCAGGTCAGTTACCTCATCGTAACGAATTCAATCAGTCAATTCAATACCTTTTCGTCATATTTTAGGAATGAGGGACCATTTGACAACATTTTTGTTACACCATATGCGTAGATCACCAATTGATTAACTGATTAGGTACTGTAAACAGTGAATATAAGCGAATTAATTTTATGTCAGTTTTCCATACAATGAAAATATCCTGAACAATTATTATTACTATGCATACTTAACGTTTTGTAGAAATTGGCCTTACGTTTTGTAGAAATTGGCCTTTAAATGCTGTCAGCGCTGCGGTGATAGTATACTTTAGTAAACAAATAAAGACCTACGCAGTGGACAAATGTTGTTATGATTTGTTTTTTATTTAATGTTACCAATACATGATTTTTTTTATTATTTTTGTAATATATATAGGAGTATAACTAATAGGTACAATGTAATATTAATTTATCTGTGCTAAAGCTACATCCCGTAGCAGGAAATATAAATAATTCAGAAACATTTCACGTATCTACATGTTCTATTTAAAATTTACAAAGATGGGAAAGTACCTTCTAAGTTGTCTTCTAAGAATGGTCTCGTGGACTACTACAGTCTCTTCCATTGACCACCAGTGGTCGAATGACCGTCGGCTAAGAACTATTGGCCTAGAGAGAATTGTTTTCTATATTTTAAAATGTGGGTTTTATAGATATCGTGAAGATTCGCAGACTATTCGATGGTAAAGATAACCATTGGTTAAGACATGATTGCCTATAAGCACTATGGAGAGCATCGAAGTCTAGTGGCTACTGTCCAGTGTTATGCCAAAAGATTGCGAGTTCGAATCCGAACAACACAACAAAATTATGTTCACGAGTAACTCTCCGGTAATGGCAACGCTGATAACAAATAATTAGTAATCGGAAGAACGGCGGTAGTCTTGGGCCCGGTCACGATGGATTCGAATATACCCATTAAAATGACATTGAAATCTTTTTAATAAGACTCGTGTAGTTGTATTGTATTATTTAAAAATCCAAAACTACTATATCATCAATTCTTTATAGGAAGTTGTGAGTTTTCGTCAGTTCAGTCCCGCGTCGTGGCTTGCTTTTCGTTATGTTGGTATATATATTATTATTATATTGGTGATCCACATTATGTACCCGCCAGATCTAAGGTAGGTAGAGAATATTTAATCATTTAAAATTGAGCTTTGATCAGGCGCCATGGTTCCCTTTTTGTTATGCATGATGTTGGAATGATATACCCTTCAGAAATAACTGTAGGTGTGACACCAGCGATATCCTACTTTTGGGATCGTAATAATAATTAATTGTGCACAGATAAAGAAAAAACAATAAAATGCAATAAACATATTTTATAAAAGGACGTCTTATTACTATTAGCAATCTCTTACAGACAACCTGGTTTTGACAGGAATATTTTCATTGCGAGAGGATAATTTAAGATAACTTAGATTTTGTTTAGCTAATTATTTATTATAGTATTAATATCACAAATTTTCGCCATTACTGCCCTACAACGCCTTCTAGTTCTACCCAAAGGTTAGCTGGTAGAGAATGCCATATGGCATTAAGCTCGCCTTTTGTACACTCTTTTGAAGTGCAATAAAGGATAAAAAAAAACCTAAGTATATATATGCATTCAACAACTTTAGAGAGATCACATTAACACGACGCCCGTGATATCAACAAGTCCATTCTCGAAGAATAAAAAAAAAATTAAATACAAAATATATTTATCCGTGTATCCATTACAGATACTTATGACAAGTCTAATTATAATTAATTTACGGTGTATATATGAGATAGTGTAATAATTACACTATTACTTAGAGGATATCTTAACGTAATAGCTGATACATCGAGGAATAAATTAAGGTGTCTGTCCTCTGATCCTATAATTTAATAGCCTAATTTCACCCCATAACCGAAACACAGCTTACAGAGCAAACTGCTTGGCGGCGCAGACTCCATATCCTGTAATTTCACTGCCTTATCTTAAATAGAATAGGATAGCATTTGTAGACTCGTACATAACAATAATGACGTGAAAAAAAACAAACAACAATTACACATTACAACATAGAGTCAATGTGGAGACAACATAATACTGGAAACATGGTTGTGCTGATTTTCAGTTGGTTTCATATTACGAACGCACATAAATTATGTATATTTGTATGTATTATTTATATCTATGTTAGTTGTGCTGTCATTTGTACCACCTACTCTTTTTCTTATATCTTCACCGTCTACCTAAAGGTAGCCTGTTAGAGATTCTTTAGCGATAAGGCCGCCTTTTGTACTCATCAATAATCATCATCATCATAAAAAAAATGTATAATTTAATACCTACATAAAATAAATATTCAGTACATATGATTTTTATATGAACAATACCTCCTTCACAGTATACGACCGACTATAGTGAGTACTATATCACCCCCCTAACAAAACGATGTAATAAAACTGAATTCAACTAACAAACTCATATAAAACACATTAAAGTAACAGTTTATTGTAAACAAGAACTGTTCTTCAGTCAATGCTGACTGACTCCATAACGGTGCGCACACGCATCCTCAGGCAACGCCCAAATCCTTTCAGCCAATCAGAAGCTTGCATTTGATGAGGCCACGCCCACTGGCAGCGCCTGCGACGCTAACATGCGCGCGGTTGCGGCCAGTTTTTCAAACACTCTCGTTGCAGGAGGTCCTGTCTGTGGAATGACGTCATTGAGTGGTGAAGTCAATTCGACTAAATTGAAGTTCAGTGTAGAGAGTATTTTGAGTAATGAAAATAGAAGTGCAACAGTGGTTGAACCCCCCCGTCAGCAGGAGCCCCCGTGCGCGGGGTGTGTCGCTGCTCTGTATAGATGCTGTAGGGATGAACCGCCCTTACTGCAGCTACCCCTGACGCTTCCATATACACATTTACATCCGGCTTTGAGGCCTACCACAGGTATGTTGTTACTCGTGTCAAGAAAACAGAAAATAAGTGATTTCAAGATTAAAAGCATGTGTAACACGGCTGGTTTAGTTTTTCTTTTCTTAATATCTTAATCATCATCATTACATAGTATAAAACAAAGTCGCTGTCGCTGTCTGTCCCTATGTATGCTTAAAACTACGCAACGGATTTTGAAGCGGTTATTTTTAATAGATAGAGTGCAACATATATTCAATCGTTGTTTCACACACGTAGATATACCTGTCAATCGTAATCTAAACACATGAATATGTATATACTATAGACAAAACTTCTGTAAAAAAATGTGTCAATTTATGTTCATGAGTAACTTTCCGCTAATGGGAACACCGATAACAAACAAAATTAATCACAGTACTATGGCAAAATTAATAACCGTGTATATCACTTTATCTTGTGACGCCCGTGATACTACTCTTGCGTTGTCATTCCTGAGAACTAAGATGTCATGATTTGTATCCTGCAATTTTACTGCCTAATGACATCCTATAATTGAGACATATATCTATTATTATAATTGTTCGTTGGCAGAAATAGGTCGTGTGCTGTTTCTGGTACTGAGTACCTCAAATAGAAATAGAAATAGAAATAATCTTTATTCAAATAAACTTAATATAAGCACTTTTGAATAATCAAGTTTTTTTATTCTACCGCTTATTCGAAATGCAGATTCATCACAAGAAGAATAAGCAAGAAACTTGTGTGTTGCTCTCAGTAACGGAAACAGCAAACGACTTTTACAAAATTATAACGAAATAATGATAATAATAATCTCGGGACAATTCACACAGCGCCATCTAGACCCAAGTTAAGTCTAGACTAAAGCTTGTGTTATGGGTACTAGATAACTGATACAAATATATAGATTTTTTTCGTAAATACATACCTACATAATATACATAGAAAACATCCAAAATGATACAAACAACCATACTCATGAATACAAATGTTTGTGCCGTGCGAGGAATCGAACCCGCGACCATCCGAAGTAAAGCGGTGTACTAGACCACCGACGCCGTCAAGTTAAGTAGTTAGGGTTATGGGTACTAGACATCTTATAGAAATATTTAAATAATGGCTGTAAAGTAAATGGTAGTTAAAGTAAGTACGAGAGATAAATTGTAATAATAGTAAGTTGTTTTGATAAATACATATAGAATATACGTATAAAACATCTAGACAGTCATGAATATAAACGGGGAATTGAACCCATAAGAAGTCAAGGGAAGTGCTAAAAATCTAGACAACTGTGACCGTTGATATTCCTACAATAACGGCATGCACGAAAATCCGAGGCAACACGCTAGTTAATTACTAATTAGTCTGGAACCCGTAGACCGACTAGTTAAATAAGCAACTAAATTCCGGTATCAAACCTAGTTTTATTAGGACACTACGTTCTCCTGCAAAGTCTGATGTCTAGTGTTAAAGTTCAAAGAACTCTTCCTTCTTTCTTTCTTTCTTTCTTTCTTTCTTTCTTTCTTTCTTTCTTAAAAGAAGTAACTCTTTCGGTATATAATGATTTTATTATATTAATAGTATTGAATCCCGAAGTTTATGTTTAATATGTAATACTAACTGTGCCCACGGTTTCACCGAAATTTGTAGCCTATATGTTAATCTGTTGTATAAGTTATATTACTGTAAAGTTTCAGCAAAATCCATTCAATAGTTTTTGCGTGAAAGAGTAACATACACCCACCCATACTCACAAACTTTCGCGTTTATAATAGATATTATTAAGATTTAGTTTTAGGTTAATAATGTTAGTTAGTATTAATTTTTAATAGTTATAAAAACCTTATAGACTAAAATTAAGATTAAAATAAGATTATTTTATATGTGCCTTTAATAACAAATTTGATTATTGCTTACGTATAAGAGATTAAGTTTGACCACAGTAAACACTATATTTTAATTAAATTAAATAGTCGTTTAATCTAACAAAAACACAAGTAATGCAAAATATATCACGGACATCATTTACCCAAGAATCTAGAGATTCTTGTTTGTTAGACAGCTGCTTCCCAGCCATGATCATTGATCATCTCCTGTGGGCCATGGGAAATACGAAAATGAACTCGACATGAGTTTAACACTTTCACTCCGGGTCATTTTAATGTAACTCTAGATTTCGGTCTAGAGTTCGAACAAATTTAACAAAAAAAGCAACTTTTCAATAATTGTTTTACCACTAAATTAATGTACACTAAAGTAATAAATTATTATAGAAAAATCTTAATTAAAATTATTTGGACTAAATATTTGAATTACAGCTTTTTGTTAGATCTATGTTTTTACAAAAGTTGTTAAAAGTTTACCTACTGTGTTTTGTTAACAATTTCCTAGTGATTTCTTTCTGAAACCTATCATTTGCGTTTTTAAGTGAACAATTTATTTTGTTATATAAAAGACTGAATTGAAAAATGTTACTTAGAGACATAAGAATTTTAGAAAGGCTAAGGTAGAGCATGATAGCACACAAAAATGTTGGGAAACACTGCTCTAGAATAAGCAGTGGTTGCTAAGTTTTCCCTCTGTGTATGTATCTATGTATGACAAAATTCCGTGACGTTTGTTTTAAAGTAAAAAAAAATATTGTATATGAAAAAAACAATAGGAAAATTTGAAATTGTTGAAATTGAACGTTTATTATAAAAAAAAACACTAAAGGAATTTTGTCTTTGGTATAAATCGCGTGAACTTTGCATAGGCAGAACAGCATCTCTTATTTCTTCTTCTCGTATGTAGAAGGGAACAAGTAGGAGCATGTAGTTATTTGTTTGGGCATTATAAGCAAAATCCTTTGCTCGTTCTAAATTCAAAATAACATAAAAATATAACTTTGCTAGCAAGAAGATGGTTTATTCTTTATACGATGGTGGGATGGGCCGTGTGCCCATCTGTTGGTAAACGGTTACCGTAGCCTGTTGACGCTTAATACAATAGATGTGTCACTTGCGGGTTGCCAACCCTTAAGAAATATTAATACACCCTTCTTGAAAAACCTCCTGCTGTCTTTTGTTTTTCTATCTTTATAAATATACCTAATAATTTCAGAAAAATGGAAGTTACCTGAAATTACTAGGTATACCCGTACAAAATCGGGGCGAGTCGCTAGTTAATTACTAATAATTTGCCAAGTTACAACGCACTGACTAGTCAAAAATACAGGAAATAGCGATTTCACTTTCCGACACCTAGTTTCATTCAATCTTATTTCTGCAAAATTTGATCTCTACAATTTTCCAGTTTACCGCCTTCCCATCTCGTCACCGCCGCCGCAGCAGACGTCTGCACCGCGCTGTGACGTCACTTCCAGCGGGAAACGGAAGCGATCCTGGTCAAGAGCGGTGTTCAGCAACCTGCAGAGGAAAGGATTGGAGAGACGGTTCCAAATACAGAAGTACATAACGAAGCCTGATCGGCGGCAGCTGGCCGCTACTTTAGGTCTCACTGACGCCCAGGTTAGAGAACAACACAAATGCTAGACCACCGACACCGTCTATTAATAAGTATATAGATAGATAAAAATTTTATACGCAAACATTACAAACAGAATTCTATAAACAAGTACCTACCTATAGATATACGTGTAAGAAACTAATACATAATAAGAAAAATAATAATAAAAAACATATCAAATATATAAATAAAATATATCTATTCATATATGCTTATATTAAGTTTATTTGAATAAATAGATATTATTTCTATTTCTCTCAGGTGAAAGTATGGTTTCAAAATCGGCGAATGAAGTGGCGCCACACGAAGGAAGGTCGCGGAGTGTGCGCGGGCTCCGCGCCACCGCCTAGGCCTCCTGAGCCTGATCTGGAGCCCGACAACGAGGACGTCGACGTCGACACCCTCAGCGACTGACCACAGACTATTCACCCTTTTTTTATTTTGTTAACATATGGAAAAATCTTATTATCAATGTTATAGGTAAACGTGAAAGTTTGTGAGAGTGGATCGAAGTTTGTTACTCTTTCACGTAAAAACTAGCCAACGGATTTTGATGAAACTTTACAGTAATATAGCTTATACATCAGATATTTTTTAGCCGCATTCAAGTATCTCTGTATATCCCAAAGGTGGACTGGGAGAGAATGCTAGACTAAATGCTATTAGCATTAAGTCTACCTTTTGTACCAATTTAAGTGGTCTATAAAGCAGATAAATTCACAGTGCCATCTAGTCCCACGCTAAGCAGATCTTGTGTTATGGTTACTAGACTACTGATATAAATATACGGATAGCTTTTTTGTAAATACATAATATACATAGGAAACAGCCAGACCGATACAAGCAATCATACTAATGAATAGAAATGTTTGTACCGTGCAAAAAATCGAACGCGCGACTATCGAAAGTAAAGCGGTGTGTTAAACCGCTAAGTAATAACTTTATTATATAAACATATATAAAATTTTTCAACCGAGAGGAAATGGTTAACGAATTTAGGGTCTGGCTCAGGTACTAAATCACATGACATTATTGCCGAAGTCGCGAGATCGTGTTAGAACTCTACCGCGACTAAGCGGCATTGGCCCGACCCGTATATAGTGCAGGGCAGGCCTTCCTCGTTTGTTAGGCCGACCTATTTCGCCCTACTCAAGAGCAAGTACCCCTATGTTTCATAAAAGTTAGCATCCCTTAAAAGAATTGAAACAAAATTGTATCTATATAACAATATGTATCCATTGTTATAATAACTGATGAATATTCATCTATGTAAACTTGTGCCATGTAGGTTTGTAAATATAGTGTAAAAATATTACAAACAATTACGCTTACTGATTATTAAATCATTATAAGTCAAATACAAAAGTAAATGTGTAAATTTGCAAGTCATAATATCTACATTATTAAATATAGTCATAAATTCATTATAAAATGTGTAAAAATGTAAATTAAATATACAATATACTAAGATAACAATATTTATCTTTATTGTCTACTAGCTGATCCCACGAACGCCATTCCGTCTCAAAATTAAATATGTCAAAGGTGTTTTGAAGTTTAGTTCCGCAATACATTTCTGAACACACCCTGTTTGACAGGTATCAGTGTGTATGGGAACATAAAATTGTAGTTTTTACTATTTTACGTTCAATTTCTTCATATTTTATCACCATTTAAATCTTCCCTGGACTTCCACGAATATTTTAAGACTAAAATTAGACAAATCGGTTCAACCGTTCTCGAGTTTTAACGAGACTAACAAAGAACAGTTCATTTTTATATAGATAGATAGATAAACTTAATATAAGCACATTTGATTAGTAATTTTTTTTATATACCACATATTTAGAACGCAGACTCATCACAAGAAGAAAAAGCAAGAAACTTGCGTGTTGCTCTTTTAAATAAATATTGTTGTAAGCACACTGTTCAATAAGATAATATTGTCAGCGCTATGAATTTTAAGTTATATTTTTTCTACAAAAACATTATCATTTATACAAAAATGTTTTACAAAGAAAATATTTTATAAAATATTAGAATCATTTTTCTGGCCAATCTTGCAAGAATATACTGTTATTTAAAATAGCAAAAGCTTTCTCTATTCTAGAATAAAAAGGAGTAGAAAAACACATATACATTATTATGTACTTGTTTATTTAAGACTGATGTACCACAATAAAGCAATTTACAAATAATAGCTGCTTTTTCTTATAAAAAAAAACACAATATTTACATTATAATTTGTTATGTAGTGTGTCGCACGCTTAAAAAGAATTAAAGACTAGGTTTAAATTTTGAAAAGTCGACTCTATCACTTTCGTTGAAGATTGATTTCCAAAATCTGTCGTTTTTGAGTTAACACTTTTCATTATTAGTTGTGCGATATAATAATGATAATGATATTATAGCAGGAATTTAAAAAGATTCCGAACAATATATAAGCATAAACAAACAATTGATTGTATTATTAAAATAATAAAATAAGAAAATTTTGGGGAGTTAACTCAAAATGATTCTTCATAATATGCACTAAACCCAGGAAAATTGACTCAGCGCCATCTAGTCCCTAAATAAGCAAACCTTGCATTGTGGGTACTAAATAACAGACAGAAAAAATTCAATACATTTTTTATGTATTTACAATAAAAACGACAAATAAATAAATAAAATAAACGGAAAGCACTCACAGACCAATACAAATAGGTACCAGTCATTAATACTGTTTGTATTGAGCGGGAAGCGAACCCATGACCATCGAAGTAAGGCAGTTTGCTAATCGGTTACACAACCGAGGTAGTATAACGTTGTACTATATATTGTTTTCTGTAAGTGGTATATTTAATAAGGTTCTTGTAATTAAATATTTTTTTTAAAAACAGACCAACATTAATACTCATACATACATTGTATTGTATGTATTGATTAATACAAAAAAAGAATCATTAATTTCAGTTTACGTTTACTGAAATTCAGAAACCACCACAACAAATACAGTATATTTTGTTCTTCTTTCATTTAAAACTAAATATTTTATTAATATATATATTTAGTTACTTCTTTCTATACCAATTAGATACACTATTTCTTCTTAAAAACAACCAACTTTCCCTAATTTTATTTACCAGCACATTTGTGTGAGGAAATGGACTGTCCATTTGCTCACTTATTTTTCTTCCTATATAATACAGAGGTGGTATAGCAGAAAAACCTAGGAAAACCAGATAAAAAAAACGGTAATTTTGTGAGCGAACCGGTTCTTCGCATCATTTTTAGAGATGACGTGTGTAGTGGATCTATCTAGCAATATTACAGAACAGTTATTTCTACTTAAATTGTAATAAAAAAGGAGTAGAATATGATGGAAGGAACGAGAAGACTAGAAGAGAGGAGGTATTAAAAATCTCAATGTAAAATTGAGATATAGAAGTAACTATGAAAGCACGTGCCATTTTGTAGTTTTGTGTTGTTTACTTTCATATGTATAATAACAGTGGATAGAGAACGCAGACATTACATTTCAATATGTACGCTTTAACAACGGAATAGGTTTTAATTTGGCATAAACATCTGTATTAACAAACTTAATAATCTACAAGTTTAACTTTTCTCTGATAACCATCTTCGTTATCAACATAATCGTCATTTCTAAATGAACTGGATGGCCCATCGCCGTAGCCTGCGTGATGGCGATCACCCCTGTATTCACCCCTAAATTCGCCCCTGTTTTCACCCCTATGTTCACCCCTAAATTCACCCCTGTTCTCGCCTCTATAACCGCCTCTGTGTCCGAACGGCCGTCTCCTTCCCGCCGAATATGATCTGTCCTGTTCCCACCTATCTGTATAATCCTGCCGACTGTAACTTTCTTCTTGTCGCCCTGCATACTCTCTACTGGGGTACCTATCAAATCTAGTCGGATAATTCTGTCTTTCATCTTCTTTCCTCTCATCTCTATAGTCGTTAGACTCTTGATACGGTCTATAGTCTCGCCTTTTAGGTTTCTGGTATGCATTCTCACTAGTTTCCTGCCTCGGACGGTAAGGTACCGTAGCAAATTCCTTGTTATTTTCCCACACTGGTATGCGTTTCTCTGGCGACGGACTCTTCGATTTGCTGCGATCTTCTCTCTTCTTCTCAGTTTGAGGAGAATCTCTGTGAAGATAAATTATGGAGAGTTATAATGGGATATTAGCCTGAAGTATCGAAACGAATTGGTATATATATAGGAACTCATTTGCACAAGCTTGAACCTAAGTGGTCTCGGACAGTACGGTTTCAGAGGAGGAATGAACTACCTGCCTGGGTTGTCTTAAGGGGTAGCCCCTTACTGCAGCCTGGGATTTTTCAAGAATATGAAGCTTTCTAAGGGTCTGTAAAAAGCACTTGACACCTCTGATGTTCCAGGCATCCATAGGCTGAAATACCGTATGTGTAAAGGCAGATATGAAGACATATACCTGGATGAAGATCCGCTGCGACTGCGATCCGATAGGTCATCGCTCGATCTCCTGTTCTGCTGGTGTCTCATCTCACGCTGTCTGCAACACAATGACACAAATACATACCTATATCTTAAGTACTCGTCAACTCAAACTATATTCAGAATTGTTGGTAGATTAGACTGACTTTGGTAATAATTTATGATCCATTATGAAAATAATGCTTACAAAATAACAGTGCAATTTATAGTCAGAGGGAGTGGGTACTTGCGGCGCAGCTTGATGGCGAGCTGCCTCATGTCTCGGTCGCGCCGCACTCTAGGCGGGCGAGTGACACTATGGGGGTGTAGTCAGAGGGAGTGGGTACTTGCGGCGCAGCTTGATGGCGAGCTGTCTCATGTCTCGGTCGCGCCGCACTCTAGGCGGGCGAGTGACACTATGGGGGTGTAGTCAGAGAGAGTGGGTACTTGCGGCGCAGCTTGATGGCGAGCTGTCTCATGTCTCGGTCGCGCCGCACTCTAGGCGGGCGAGTGACACTATGGGGGTGTAGTCAGAGGGAGTGGGTACTTGCGGCGCAGCTTGATGGCGAGCTGTCTCATGTCTCGGTCGCGCCGCACTCTAGGCGGGCGAGTGACACTATGGGGGTGTAGTCAGAGAGAGTGGGTACTTGCGGCGCAGCTTGATGGCGAGCTGTCTCATGTCTCGGTCGCGCCGCACTCTAGGCGGGCGAGTGACACTATGGGGGTGTAGTCAGAGGGAGTGGGTACTTGCGGCGCAGCTTGATGGCGAGCTGCCTCATGTCTCGGTCGCGCCGCACTCTAGGCGGGCGAGTGACACTATGGGGGTGTAGTCAGAGGGAGTGGGTACTTGCGGCGCAGCTTGATGGCGAGCTGTCTCATGTCTCGGTCGCGCCGCACTCTAGGCGGGCGAGTGACACTATGGGGGTGTAGTCAGAGGGAGTGGGTACTTGCGGCGCAGCTTGATGGCGAGCTGCCTCATGTCTCGGTCGCGCCGCACTCTAGGCGGGCGAGTGACACTATGGGGGTGTAGTCAGAGGGAGTGGGTACTTGCGGCGCAGCTTGATGGCGAGCTGCCTCATGTCTCGGTCGCGCCGCACTCTAGGCGGGCGAGTGACACTATGGGGGTGTAGTCAGAGGGAGTGGGTACTTGCGGCGCAGCTTGATGGCGAGCTGTCTCATGTCTCGGTCGCGCCGCACTCTAGGCGGGCGAGTGACACTATGGGGGTGTAGTCAGAGGGAGTGGGTACTTGCGGCGCAGCTTGATGGCGAGCTGCCTCATGTCTCGGTCGCGCCGCACTCTAGGCGGGCGAGTGACACTATGGGGGTGTAGTCAGAGGGAGTGGGTACTTGCGGCGCAGCTTGATGGCGAGCTGCCTCATGTCTCGGTCGCGCCGCACTCTAGGCGGGCGACAGTGACACTATGGGGGTGTAGTCAGAGGGAGTGGGTACTTGCGGCGCAGCTTGATGGCGAGCTGTCTCATGTCTCGGTCGCGCCGCACTCTAGGCGGGCGAGTGACACTATGGGGGTGTAGTCAGAGGGAGTGGGTACTTGCGGCGCAGCTTGATGGCGAGCTGTCTCATGTCTCGGTCGCGCCGCACTCTAGGCGGGCGAGTGACACTATGGGGGTGTAGTCAGAGGGAGTGGGTACTTGCGGCGCAGCTTGATGGCGAGCTGCCTCATGTCTCGGTCGCGCCAGGCACTCTAGGCGGGCGAGTGACACTATGGGGGTGTAGTCAGAGGGAGTGGGTACTTGCGGCGCAGCTTGATGGCGAGCTGTCTCATGTCTCGGTCGCGCCGCACTCTAGGCGGGCGAGTGACACTATGGGGGTGTAGTCAGAGGGAGTGGGTACTTGCGGCGCAGCTTGATGGCGAGCTGCCTCATGTCTCGGTCGCGCCGCACTCTAGGCGGGCGAGTGACACTATGGGGGTGTAGTCAGAGGGAGTGGGTACTTGCGGCGCAGCTTGATGGCGAGCTGCCTCATGTCTCGGTCGCGCCGCACTCTAGGCGGGCGAGTGACACTATGGGGGTGTAGTCAGAGGGAGTGGGTACTTGCGGCGCAGCTTGATGGCGAGCTGCCTCATGTCTCGGTCGCGCCGCACTCTAGGCGGGCGAGTGACACTATGGGGGTGTAGTCAGAGGGAGTGGGTACTTGCGGCGCAGCTTGATGGCGAGCTGTCTCATGTCTCGGTCGCGGCCGCACTCTAGGCGGGCGAGTGACACTATGGGGGTGTAGTCAGAGGGAGTGGGTACTTGCGGCGCAGCTTGATGGCGAGCTGCCTCATGTCTCGGTCGCGCCGCACTCTAGGCGGGCGAGTGACACTATGGGGGTGTAGTCAGAGGGAGTGGGTACTTGCGGCGCAGCTTGATGGCGAGCTGCCTCATGTCTCGGTCGCGCCGCACTCTAGGCGGGCGAGTGACACTATGGGGGTGTAGTCAGAGGGAGTGGGTACTTGCGGCGCAGCTTGATGGCGAGCTGTCTCATGTCTCGGTCGCGCCGCACTCTAGGCGGGCGAGTGACACTATGGGGGTGTAGTCAGAGGGAGTGGGTACTTGCGGCGCAGCTTGATGGCGAGCTGCCTCATGTCTCGGTCGCGCCGCACTCTAGGCGGGCGAGTGACACTATGGGGGTGTAGTCAGAGGGAGTGGGTACTTGCGGCGCAGCTTGATGGCGAGCTGTCTCATGTCTCGGTCGCGCCGCACTCTAGGCGGGCGAGTGACACTATGGGGGTGTAGTCAGAGGGAGTGGGTACTTGCGGCGCAGCTTGATGGCGAGCTGCCTCATGTCTCGGTCGCGCCGCACTCTAGGCGGGCGAGTGACACTATGGGGGTGTAGTCAGAGGGAGTGGGTACTTGCGGCGCAGCTTGATGGCGAGCTGTCTCATGTCTCGGTCGCGCCGCACTCTAGGCGGGCGAGTGACACTATGGGGGTGTAGTCAGAGGGAGTGGGTACTTGCGGCGCAGCTTGATGGCGAGCTGCCTCATGTCTCGGTCGCGCCGCACTCTAGGCGGGCGAGTGACACTATGGGGGTGTAGTCAGAGGGAGTGGGTACTTGCGGCGCAGCTTGATGGCGAGCTGCCTCATGTCTCGGTCGCGCCGCACTCTAGGCGGGCGAGTGACACTATGGGGGTGTAGTCAGAGGGAGTGGGTACTTGCGGCGCAGCTTGATGGCGAGCTGCCTCATGTCTCGGTCGCGCCGCACTCTAGGCGGGCGAGTGACACTATGGGGGTGTAGTCAGAGGGAGTGGGTACTTGCGGCGCAGCTTGATGGCGAGCTGTCTCATGTCTCGGTCGCGCCGCACTCTAGGCGGGCGAGTGACACTATGGGGGTGTAGTCAGAGGGAGTGGGTACTTGCGGCGCAGCTTGATGGCGAGCTGTCTCATGTCTCGGTCGCGCCGCACTCTAGGCGGGCGAGTGACACTATGGGGGTGTAGTCTGAGGGAGTGGGTACGTGCGGCGCAGCTTGATGGCGAGCTGCCTCATGTCTCGGTCGCGCCGCACTCTAGGCGGGCGAGTGACACTATGGGGGTGTAGTCAGAGGGAGTGGGTACTTGCGGCGCAGCTTGATGGCGAGCTGCCTCATGTCTCGGTCGCGCCGCACTCTAGGCGGGCGAGTGACACTATGGGGGTGTAGTCAGAGGGAGTGGGTACTTGCGGCGCAGCTTGATGGCGAGCCGTCTCATGTCTCGGTCGCGCCGCACTCTAGGCGGGCGAGTGACACTATGGGGGTGTAGTCAGAGGGAGTGGGTACTTGCGGCGCAGCTTGATGGCGAGCTGCCTCATGTCTCGGTCGCGCCGCACTCTAGGCGGGCGAGTGACACTATGGGGGTGTAGTCAGAGGGAGTGGGTACTTGCGGCGCAGCTTGATGGCGAGCTGTCTCATGTCTCGGTCGCGCCGCACTCTAGGCGGGGCGAGTGACACTATGGGGGTGTAGTCAGAGGGAGTGGGTACTTGCGGCGCAGCTTGATGGCGAGCTGTCTCATGTCTCGGTCGCGCCGCACTCTAGGCGGGCGAGTGACACTATGGGGGTGTAGTCAGAGGGAGTGGGTACTTGCGGCGCAGCTTGATGGCGAGCTGTCTCATGTCTCGGTCGCGCCGCACTCTAGGCGGGCGAGTGACACTATGGGGGTGTAGTCAGAGGGAGTGGGTACTTGCGGCGCAGCTTGATGGCGAGCTGCCTCATGTCTCGGTCGCGCCGCACTCTAGGCGGGCGAGTGACACTATGGGGGTGTAGTCAGAGGGAGTGGGTACTTGCGGCGCAGCTTGATGGCGAGCTGCCTCATGTCTCGGTCGCGCCGCACTCTAGGCGGGCGAGTGACACTATGGGGGTGTAGTCAGAGGGAGTGGGATTGCGGCGCAGCTTGATGGCGAGCTGCCTCATGTCTCGGTCGCGCCGCACTCTAGGCGGGCGAGTGACACTATGGGGGTGTAGTCAGAGGGAGTGGGTACTTGCGGCGCAGCTTGATGGCGAGCTGTCTCATGTCTCGGTCGCGCCGCACTCTAGGCGGGCGAGTGACACTATGGGGGTGTAGTCAGAGGGAGTGGGTACTTGCGGCGCAGCTTGATGGCGAGCTGCCTCATGTCTCGGTCGCGCCGCACTCTAGGCGGGCGAGTGACACTATGGGGGTGTAGTCAGAGGGAGTGGGTACTTGCGGCGCAGCTTGATGGCGAGCTGCCTCATGTCTCGGTCGCGCGTGGCCCGCGTGCGCGCCTCCCGCGCGGACCGCGCCGCCGCCTCTCTCTGGTCGCGCCGCACTGCGACAGTTACTTACCGTTACCGGCCGCCTTTACACCGCACGATCTTTTACGCGCGATTTGGCCCAGGAAAGCCAGAACGTGTAATCGTCATTTTTTGTGTTCACTCGCGTGTGATTACGCGACGTTTCAAGCCATTTCACTCTTTTTTAAAATTTCTCGCGTGCTGACTTTTGCCGCGCTAAACATCGCGCGCTTCTTATCACGCGTAAAAGAACGTGTCGTGTAAAGGCAGCTATTTACCTATCTATCTTAAGGTTCAATTTAAATTACTCAATAAACAATATAAAGTTAACTATTTTACACTATTTTCAATAATAATATCGTTGGACAATTCGCACAGCACCATCTAGTCCCAAGCTCAAAAAAGTTAGTGTTATGGATACTAGACAACTTATATGACTTAAGTATATACTTTTTAGAAAAACATATATAGAAAACACGCAAAAAACAACCATAACTATGTTTAAGCTAATCTAGTTAAGAGCACAATATAATAGTTCCGAAAAGTGAACTAGATGTCGCTGTCTCATATATGTATAATTTCTACATCGCGGTGGCAAGATATTTTTGTGTTATGTTATAGTTATAACTCGTTTTGTAATCAGTGAGCGAAATAGAGAGGAATACATTCTTAAAACGCATTATACACATATCCAGTACTATCCTTGGGTTTCATTTACCTATAGGGTCCAAGATCTAGTACAGTTCAGGTCATAAGTACAGCACTAAATATGGTCCTTCGAGCCGGATTCAGTACATTTTTGAATTGCACGCTTAATGGGCAGTGGTTTACTGTCAAAGAAGCTCAAGTCCACAGGTCAAGTGTGTCATCAGTGCAACACACTAAAGAACAAGAGCGTCATCTGGTGGCGAGAAACAACTACCATATACTGCGCTCGCGCAGAACAAACAGCAGCGCCATCTGACGTCCAAGAAAAGGAAATACAGCAGCCCTCTGGTGTTCAAAATTAGCATCATACTACAGCAGCGCCCCCTAGTGCAGATATCAAACAACTGCGACTGCAGCGCCCCCTAGTGCAGACATCAAACAACTGCGACTGCAGCGCCTCTGGTGAAGAGTGCAAGCAACTGCAACTGCAGCGCCCCTGGTGAAAAGTGGAAGCAACTGCGACCCCAGCGCCCCTGGTGTCAAAGGGAAGAAGAGGAGCTGAGACGTCATAGGGGTCAGTTAAAGTGAAGTGTCTGTGAGTACAATTTGAACTTATAATTTGCCAAGCAATTATCAACTTTAAATTCATTAGCCACGGAACTTTAACATTTCATAGATCATAAGAATTTTTACATATAAAATAGTAACTTAGAATAATTTTCAATAGAACATTAACTTTGTAAAATTAGAGTAGAATTTAGGACTTAGAATAATTTAAGAAAAAACGAGGGAACGGGGAACCTATGCCCGATTTTTAATTTTGTGTCAAACACTTGTAAAATTTTTAAGAATTTTCTTCAACTTGTAAATTTTTTTGCGAATTGAAATAGTTCAAATTCGATAAAATACATCTTTGTTTATATTAGTACAGTACATTTAGTTAAGTAAACATGGCAGAAGGTCTTATTAAGATACAAGTTAATTTACAAAAGTCTATTCAAAAAGCATTGGTTAATTTTAATAAGTCACCTAAACAAAGAGTTACTCTAGAGTATGTAGAAGTTAGAGCAGATAATTTAGATAAAGACTGGTTACTTTTTCGTTCGAATCATTATAAATTGTTAGAAGAATACTATGATAAAATAGAAAATAACGAGTATTTTAAAAATGAAATTTATGATAGTGTTGAAGATACTTATATGGAATATCGCGCTTTATTAAAAAGTACCTCAAACAAATTAGCAGTTAAAATCAAAGAAACTGATTCAAATAAAAGTGACCAATCTAAAGGTAATAACAGTTCTCTTATAAAATTACCCAAAATTTCAATACCCTTATATTCAGGAAAATATTCTGAATGGAATAGCTTCAGAGATTTGTTTATATCGCTCATTCATAATAATAATGCTCTCGATAATGTGCAAAAATTACATTACTTCAAAAGTCATTTAACTGGTGAAGCCGAGCAATTAATACGGCATACTCCTATAACGGACTCTAATTATAGTCAATGTTGGTCTCTATTAGAAAGTAGATATAACAATAAAAAGTACTTATCAAATTGTATTTTTAAGCGATTGTTTAGTCAAAAAAGAATGTTTGTGGAGTCCGCTTCGGCACTAAAAGACCTTTTAGACACTACTACAGAGTGTCTGCATGCTTTACAAAATTTAATGATAGATGTGAGCACCTGGGATTCTATAATAATTTATGTTGTAACTTACAAACTTGATCCGGAAACCCGTAAACAATGGGAACTGAAGGTTTCAAGTGATGAAAGTACGGAATTGCCAACGTTGCATCAGTTCAAGAACTTTGTTGAAAGTCGTTTCAGAGCCTTAGAGTGTATTGAGTCTAAAAAAGTACCAGTACAAAATAATAGTTCATATTCACAAAAATCTAATACCAAGGTAATGTTGGCAACGCGTAAAACGAATTCATTTGCTAATTTTCAGTGTGAATATTGTTCCGATAGTCATAAAATGTGCTTCTGTAAGAAATTCATTGCTTTAGACTATGAACAGAGGCGTCAGTTTGTAGTAAATCATAAAATTTGCTATAACTGTCTTGGTGGAAATCATACAACGCTTCAATGTCTCAAACCAACATCTTGTCGTGTATGTAAAAGGAGGCATCATACGTTATTACATTCGGATTCAGGATGTAAGACAGATGAGTCCACTAGCCATAATCCCAAACCAAGTACCTCTTCGGAAGGTACAATTTCTTCAAATAACAGTACACCTTTAGTTTCATGTTTTGCCACAACCAGGATCACAAAACTGAGACAAGTATTACTTGCGACAGCCTTAGTGAAAGTTCAGTCTGCGTCAAGTAATTTTCAAATTCTACGAGCCTTACTAGATCAGGGCTCTCAAGCTTCCTTTGTAACAGAAGCGACAGTTCAATTCTTACGATTAAAGAAAACACCTATTAAGGGTACGGTGTCTGGACTCGGTGACAATAAAAATATTGTATCCAGATATATGGTATCAATCGTATTACAGTCCTTAACAGATGTTAATTTCGAGATTAACGTCAATGCATACGTCCTGAAAAATATTACTTCGTACTTACCGGAACGGAAACTCGAAGAATTAAACTGGACAGTTTTAGAACAGTTACCATTGGCAGATCCACAATTCAATGCGCCCAATAAGATAGACATCTTACTTGGAGCAGATGTTTATGCCAAAGTACTTAAAGAAGGCGTAAAAAGAAATCAACTGGATCACTTGTAGCACAGTGCACCAGATTAGGCTGGATTCTCTCTGGTACAGTACACTCTGAAAACACAGATAAAAATAAAATTAATAATAGTACAAAACAGATCACTACTATGCATGTGCAGGTTAATGAAAATGATATCCTAAAAAAGTTCTGGGAAATAGAAGAACAATTATCTATAATATATAAAGCTGCATTACGGTGACTCACTCACTGATTGACATAGTTGTTCTCCCAGAAGGAGTGCCGGGGGGTCGTGACGATGTATGGGGGAAATGTTCCTTTGGCTAGGGTGACCACGAGAAAATTCCGAAATTTGGGAAAATCCAAGATGGCGGACAAAGATGGCGGCTAACTTTTACAGTTTCGCTCGGATCGATTCCGTTCAAAGAGTGATTTGGCACGTCTCGGCGGGACCCAGAATGTGGCGTAAAAACAAAAAATTAAAATCCAAGATGGCCGCGAAAAAATTGCCAAAAACTGGTTGAAAATTTTCTAGGGTTTCAAAAACCGAAATTCCCAGGGTAGTTGCGGGGGTACTGGCGACACCGGTTGTGGAGCATAGGAAACTCGAAGGACTCGACTTCTAGGGAAAATTATGAAATTTCGAAAATCCAAGATGGCCGCCGAGTTGGGGGCGTGTGAAATTGGTCCTAAAAATCCGGATTATTTTCAAAGTCATTTTTTAGGTACAGGGCAACCCCGCAGCGAGTCGGCTTCTATGGGGCGATGATGGGTCTCGGTATAAAGTATTGCCAGCGCTAAAAATAATTCCCGAATTTGGGGTAATTTGGGAGAAATGGTCCAAAAAGTGGGAAAAAATTTTTTCGACATTTTTGACAAAAGAAGCATCAAGGCCTATCGAGAAACATTCCCTAAAGGGTTTTAGGTGGGTTTTGTTGGAATTTGCTGGCAACACCCATACATGGTATGACCAAAATAGAAATTGGGGTGTCTCTCCAAAAACTGAAATTCCTAGGGTACTTGCGGGGATGCTACCGATCCCTATTGTAGGGCATTGGGAGGCTGAAAGACTCGGCCACTAGGGAAAATTATGAAATTTCAGAAATCCAAGATGGCGGCCAAGCTATGGGAGATTTAGTTTTTGGAAAAATTTTGGGATATTTTCAATCGCGTTTTTGCTGCACATGGCAACCCCGTAGCTAAACGTCACCTACTGACATGGGTAAGTCCCAGTAAGAAGATTTGCCAGGGCTAAAAATTTTCCCCGATTTTGGGTTAAATTTGGAGAAAAGTCCCATAAAGTGGGAAAAATTTTTTTCGACATTTTAAATGAAAAAGTCTTGTTGGTCTACCAAAAATCGTCCCCTGAAGGGGTTTAGGTGGATTTTGTCAGAATTTGCTGGCAACACCCATACATCATGGGACAAATTTTGAAATTGAGGTCTAGCTTTAAAAACTGAAATTGATAGGGTACCTACGAGTGTGCTAGCTCAACGCACTGTGCGGCGTCGGATAGCCGAAGGACCCGGCCCCTAGGGAAAATTATGAAATTTTAGAAATCCAAGATGGCGGCAGAGATAGGGGAGTTTTGCTTTTCGGAGAAAATTTGGGATATTTTTAAATGTAGTTTCAGGACACTTGGCAACCCCGCAGCGAGTCGACTTCTATGGAGAGATGATGTGTCTCCACACAAAGT